CTAATTCAAAAGTGTAAATTCAGACATCAGGTCGTTGCATCCACACTTTGCTTAGACAAGCATTCCCCGAAGGGTTCATGCCACCTTGACGAATCCAGCATGAAGCACACACTTGCTCAGAACAATCTTTGCGAATTCTGATGTGGAACGCATCCTACGTGCAAAACACAGTCCAATTAAACCTGGCAGGAGTTGTTGGATGACCAGAAGTGAGAAACAGTGCGAAGGAAATCTTTCTACGTCCTTGCTAGGAGCAACTAATCCATCTAAACCAAGTCGTTACCTCTCTTGACAGATTGCGACAACAGTGCAGTGAAAGGCAAAATAGAAACCAATTGTTCGACAAGCCGGTTCTTGGCTTAGCCGGTTGCCATTGACAAACATGAAAATTGGCGCAGGTACACGGAGGTGATCAATCTCCGCTTCCCCCATTGTGGAATAGCTTCGTTGGCAACAGGTATCCACAATGGGCCTGTGCCCCCTGCAATTTGTAATTTGGTACAAACCAAAACCAGGAAAATATCGCAAAACGAGGTTTACATCTGTTCAGATGGTTCACAAATATATATAGAGACACGTACTCGCATGCTCTTTTCTGCCAATCGTCTTTCTGTACGCCGTTGACATTATGAGGCCTGAAGCTTGATTAAGGAATGGAACCAACATGTATTAGCATGAGTATTCTTGAATGTGGATGCAAAATCGATCAAACTTCTGAAGCACCCCAAAAGCCATTTTGTATGTGCGCGCGCCTGCATCTCCTTGCGTGCAACGTTTTGACCATCTGTCTAGACAGGCGTACGTGCACACAGAGAATTGCGTAAAGGACGATCGTCTAGCCCATGCGCGAAATCTGAAATAACGCTTGCCGTCGTGATCCATGGAAAGCTTCTGCTGCGTCTAGCTTGCCAGCGGCTAATTGGAGCTCACTTTCTTGCTGTCAAATGCTCTTGTGTAATAAATACGGTACAGTTGCAAGGCTCCACGGTTCATGCGTTCAGCAAGTTTCCACTGATCAAAGTCTTTCAATCTCGGTGTTGTCTACCTGGTCATCACAACCACGAATTGGCACAGGCCTGTTGATTGGCACAGGCCTGTTGCAAGGCTGATGCTCTCCGAAGGAAAAGGAGGACGTAATACAAGATGGACGTTGCGAATGCGTGCATGTGGCTCCTGAAGTTTGTTCTTGCCAGCCACAAACCTACTATCAATCAGCAGGCAAGAGGATACCAGGAAAAGCTGTGATTGGCGAAGGCCGGAGAAGGTTGGACTATGGGAGCAGGGGCCGCAGCAGTCCGACTCACAAGGAGGCCGCTTCAGGGACGAAGGGGTGCCACAACCGGCACAAGGAGACTTGAGAAGAAGGGAACGAAAGCCAGCCGCGCTATCATTTTCCCCCCAAGCGGTGTGTCCACGCTGAGGGGTTCTTACGGTAGGTGTTTAAGCCGGGGTTTGATCAGGGTAAGCTCTCTGGGCCGCGGCATTTTTGTTGTACATTCCCGCATAAAAATGCTTTTGTGAGATGTCCATGTGCATTTGCACTGCGCAGGCTCGCGCAAAGTCCGCATTTTCATTGAAATTCCTCGCATAAGCGGTCCCTTCTGAGATGTCCATGTGCATTTCGGCTGCGCAGGCTCGCACAAAGTCTGCGCCGCGGGGTTTTCAAGGGCGTCTTGTGGAGATCCTGCTAAATTCCTCTCTAAGAGGTTCTTGCGTGATCTTGCACAGGTCTTTAACAGAAGATCTTGTGGAGATCCTGGTAAGATCCTCTCTAAGAGGTCCTTGCATGAAGATCTGGCAAATGCCATGTCTTAGAGGTGCTTGTATGAAAGCTCTTGCGGGGGGCTCTTGGAGGCTCTTGTACCAAGATCTTGTAAGGTCCGCTCCAGCAGCAGCAGGTCCTTTTATGACGAGTTTGTCAGCTTCTCTTGGGGGTCCTGGCATGAAGATCTTGGTCAAAGTCGCTTGCAAGTTCTTGCGAGCTCTTGAGAAGGTCCGGGTGAAATCCTCTAGGTGTCCTTACACGATCTCGTACAGGTGCTTGTGAGAAGATCTTGTGGAGATCCTGTTGAAATCCTTCTCAAGAGATCTTTGCATTAAGATCTTGAAAATCCTCTGCATTGGTGCTTGCTCGTGTATATAAAGCACTGCTGCTGCAGTTGCGATCATGTCTAACCTCATCTGTTACTGTTCCATAGCCTGTTGCTTGTATCTGGCACATTGGCTTCCTACCCTCTGCGCTGTTTGGGGTCTCTTGCGGGTGTAATTGCCACGTCGCACTGGTACGCGAGGAGTGCGGCGGAAGGATCAAGGTTGGGTTTCAGCAAGTGCTTTCAGAAATGGTTTCCAGCTTCGTTTTCTGCGTTTGAATCAAGGCGGTCAAAAAGGATGAGAATTGGTGACAAGATGGGTCATATAAAGAAAGCAAACATAAAAATTGAAGAGGACGGGAAGCCAACAATGATAAAAACGTCGTGCTTTTGGAAACATGCCTGTCAGACTGGTACACAGCTTCAGCTGGGTGGGAGGGAAGGTAGGGACACTGTTTTCTTTGACAAACTTTGACAAAATCTCCTGTCGCGTCTGTCGCCCTTCAAGACTGGTTACAGGTATCACCTGCGGCCAGACTCCAGACACAATCGAAAACCTTCACAGCTTTGCACAATCTGTTGGCAGCTCTAAGCTCTGCAGTTGACATGCTTCAAGCAGCTTTAAGCTCTGCAGGCCAATAGAACGTTGAAATCATTGCTTTGAAGCTTTGCAAACACAGCTTTTGAGGCCCATTAGAGCCCACAGTGTCCTTGGAGCCTGTGAATCCACTATGTGTGGGATGACCCCGGCAGCACGTGCAATTCAATGCTGAGGGTTCAAATTGTCATTGTCTTAGGATCAGCGACTGAACACTATACTGAACTTCTTGCGGCGCGATGTTTGACCCTTTCCTTAATCACAACGTGTCTCCTGTAGGAAATGGTTCTTGACAGCCGTGGCTCAGTTGTGGCTCAGCTGGTGCGAGGCATGCTTCAAACACTGGTGCTTCAAGGGCTCCAGGACAAGTGCCAATGAAATCTTAAACTGAAACGAAAATCAGCCGAGAGGATACTATGTAATACTTTATGTAATACTATGTATTACTTTAAGGGATGCGTCATCTCTTCCTTGCGGGCTCCGGACCTTCTGCCCAACGCTGTCGCCCTTTTGCCTCACTAGACTATGGGGGATTTATGGAGTTTGCCTTGTGTTGCAAAAAAAACACCTTTTCGTGGCATGAACTTGGCTGCCGGGTACCCAGAATCAGGTGTGACTGTACGTCAAGCGATATTCACAGTTGAACCTCTGGCATTTGAAGGTTCCATCAGTTCCACCCACTTGATATACTTGAAGAGTTGATCAGCCCTGAGCGCATGGCTCCCCACAGCAGGTTTCGTTGCCTGCAGCGTTTGATTTGCCAATTCTTCACTGGATGATGCAATGCACGTGCAATCTATATGTATATATATATATATATATCCGCCGAGCCCGGCTGCGCAAGGGGGAGCGCGTAAGGGAAAAAGAGTTGGCTGCGCCATTGCTATCTCCACCAAAAAGTCTCCGTCCTTCACTGACATGGGGATTTGCCGCTGGGAGTCGGGTTTCGGAGTCGCAGCGATGCTCGGCACAGTGCGGTGCTGGGCACAGTGCGGCAACGAATCAGCGAGCAGGATCCGAAAGCAAAACGAGCAAACAAGAACAGCAAGCAAGAGCAGCATTTTGTTTTGACGCGTTTCAGAACTTACGTCCTTCACTTTGTTTTACAGTATCAAATCCTCTATAGATAGGATCTTTGCCATCTCGCAAGCGTCCACATAGAGCTATTTGACTCTACATGTATCTACACTGCAGCATGTGTCAAGTGACTTTGGAGGGGATACGATGGGGACTGAGACTCAAGACGCAAAGCCACACCCCAAAATCCACTGAAAGGCCCTGAAAGACCCTGAAAGGGCTTGCCACATCTTGCCACTTCTCAAGGTCCCTTTGTCTCCCGTCTCAGAGTGTTCCAGAGTGTCCGGGCATTGGCACTGACCCATGAAGCAATAGCAAACTCAATTGCCTCGATGCCATGCACGCTATTTGGATTTCAAGTGCTGTGCTCGGGACATCTGCTCAACATGTACCTTCATTATCTTTGTTGACCTGGTTGACCATCCGCAAGTCTTGTTTCTCCAGGAATGGAAGTCTCTCTCTCTCTCTCTCGTCCCAAACTGAGAAGCAGACACCAAATCTAAATCTGAGTCGGTGTCTAAACGATGCCTAGGTGAAACCACATAAGACCTACTGTAAAGCTACGCAGCTACTTGATGTTGGCTCTTTGTTGTTGGAGTGAATGCTTGTGGAGGACTGAAGGGAAGTTTTTGTACAAGCGCTGGAAAGTCTGATGACTCATGGACCTGGTGGAAAGTTGGAGATGAACATGCAGCCAACCCTATTGATGAGATGTGCAGGATGCCAACTTTGAGACAAGCGTCGTCTTGAATTAGTATTGAATAGTGCTTCTCTGGCGTTTCTTTTTCATATGCTCCCTGGAGTTCACAAAGTTGCCCCAAGCAACGTCGGCCTGTCAAGCTCTGAGCCGAAATTGGCACGGCACTGGATTTCACACCCCTCAGGCCTTGCTAAAGAAACCAAATCTCAGTCACGGACATGTTTTACTTGGAGAAGAACAGAAAACATGCTCTGTCCAAAGAAAATGCACGTGTTTGCAGTTGGTAAATGGATGTAAATGGTATCTGTTCAATCTGTTCAAAGCGGAGCTCTCGCTGACCCCACACTTCAGCAGGGACAGCAATGCTTTCCTTGCACATGCACGCACCAAAAAACCTTGCAAACTGAACAGCCATAACATAACATGGTTTTGAAAGTTCATACAATGGGAACCGTAAATTTCGACTGTGTTGTCTCCGACTGTGTTTGGTCTCCTGTGTTTGGTCTCCAATTTTTTGGAACCCAAGATTTGACCCTGGATTTTCACACCTTGATTTGTCGTCTATTCTTTTCTATTCAATAGCACTTGACTCTTTTCTTTTCGATCTTTTCGTCAGTTGGATGCTCATCTCTATGTACATAGCGCATCGGGCGCATCGGGACGGCTTCCAGCTTTGCTTCCGCTAGCGAAGCCCGCTACAAGAAGTCTGCGCCCTGTGGCCCGGCTGGGCCATTCCCCGCAGGCTTCCAATCTACCTGGCAAAATGAACCAAGAGATACATAGAGATACCAAGAGACCAAGACAAGCAGCTTGAAGACACCAGGGAATGACTCGAATGACTCCGAGTCCAAAAGAAGTTCAAAATGGTTCAGCTCACTCTCACCTTGTACAGTCTTATGAGCCTTATACCTTCAAAATGCAGGTCTTGATATCGCCCACCGTCACTCTGAAACAGCAGAGCATGAAGAAATGCCCGGTGGGAATGTTCGAATAGACTTGGTACAGTGTGTCTGGCCACGCGGATGGTTGTCTAGGTTGTTTTTATAAGCAAGCCGCAATCACGTGCTGTTTCATGCTGCATGTGGGTTCTTTTGGCCATGCCACGCTAGTAACTAGTCTGTTTCCTTGAGTCAGGATGCCACCGGACTGGTGACTGCCCCTTTCCGTATCAATTCCTGATCTCCCCTTAGTGTTCTCCTCCAAAGGACTTCACATGAATCTCAGCTGTTTAATTTCAGGCAATGGCACCGATTCTGGCGATTCCTGAGGGTCTCCACCTTAAAGGTCCAGGCTTGTAGAGCCGAACCGAGTCAAACCACCGGAGTTCCATCGTCGAATCGACTCGAAATCGTCATGTTTTTTCAACAAAGAATGTTAGAATGTCAATGTGACCTCTGAGTGATCGGCTTGGAGCAAATTGAACCTAGACAGAGATTGAACGGGATCTGTACAGAATGGATGGGGCATGATGGAACCAATTCTGCAACTCAAAGAACTAGGCTACGGGCTGTTATCAAACCAGTCATGGTTTGCAAAGAGTCTACTGCAGACCATAGCGCCTGGAAATTCTACCGTCAAACCTTCGACTATTTAACAACTGGGTATGTAAAACTTCGTAAATGCTCGAAAAAAACATTGCGTCTGATTCCTCAATGAAGGAAACGCCGTGGGTCTCATGAGAAGCTAGTGGAATAAGGCAACCTGCTCATGGCTGCCTGATATACATTCTCAAAAATGAGTGATTTTGACATGTCCTCAATACTTGAAGTGTTCAAAGTGTCCTCAAAGAGACTTTCTCTGGGGCACCTCGTGCGCACGGGCTCTCAGCCTTTCCAAGTCTTTTCCAAAATCATTGGCGACCTCTCTGGTGGGCCTCTCCACAGCTGCAAAAATGTGCTGCGAATGTGTAGGGCCATCAGTTTGTGGTAAATATTGATGCGGCGTAATTTAGTACAGTAAAGCAAGGCTGCATATCACAACAAAGTACTACAACACCTGCGTGTCTTCCAGATTGAAGTGTAAGTCTTAGTGTAAGTCATACCCTCCGCCTCAAGCGCAGCTTCAAGGTGCGCAGCGTAGCTTCCTGCCAGACGCTCAATATTCTTCACATCATATGTTTTTAATACTCTCTGTTTTTTCCCTTATTATTCCTTATATTTATTATTTATATAGCTATTGGTTTATTCATGTTTATTCCTTTATGTTTCGAGGCTTTGTAAACCTGTCTCCGGGTGTAGGGCGACCCAGAGAAATTCCACGCTATGACTTTGCGTGGCTAAAAGAAAGTGGTGGGATTTCTGCGTCTTCGTGCGATTCCACAGGTTCCTTCGAGGTGCCAAACCAGCACTTCTTGCAGGTTACTTCATGGAACTTGAGGCCAACGGGAAGGTACGAAGGTTGCTGGCTGGGATATGCATTTGGATGCCCGAAAGTTGTAAAGTAAGTGTGAAAATGGCCTTGTGAAACGCGGAGGTGTTCATTCATCTGCTGCCAGAGTGGAGCATCTTGTGGGAGAAAGTTGACGCATATCTCCAGAAGGAAAACAATAAGTCTATAGTTGAAGAGAGACAAGAACATGGGTAGAAAAACGCACCCAAAATGGAAGCCAAAGATGAATGCTTTTTGGGTTCGATGTAGAGGCAGAGTGGGCATGCAGGAGGAAAGAGACAGAGAGAGAGAGAGAGAGATATATATATATATAGGTTTGGGAAAAAAAAACATGATATATGAATTACGAGGGAAATAGAGGGCAACATAGACAGTCTTAGATAGTCTATACAAGAGGATGATGTGATGCTGATCATGATGCCTCAACAAACATCACTCCAGCCCAGACGAGGGGAGACGGCCCGACGCCAGGATTCAACGTCCTAGACTCCTAGCCCCTCCTGCACACCTCCCTATTCCTTCCGAAATCCCTTCCGAAGGCTCGAGTTCAGTCTGAGTTCAGTCGGCGCAAGCTGACCAGTGACTAGAAAGCTTTCGCGCCTTTCGCGATCTGCAACTTGACTGGATAGATCACAAGATTTTTGGGGAGACCGACGCCTTTATGATCTTTATGGTACTCTGAATTTGTTACTTGTTCTGTCAAACCTCCACAACAGCAGCTCTTCGAAGCCGTTCGTGGTCATAAGCCTGGCGCATGCATGTGCTCTGCATCCACTTGACATCAAAGGTCAAACTTCTGGGATTTCCATGGATTTCCATGGATTTCTGGGCAGCCCTAGGCGTCATAGCCGACCCCTCTGGACCGCATTGACGCATTTGCCCTTTGCCTCACGCTGGATTGGGTCTGCCAGGACCTCGTAAGCATGTGACACCTCCTGCGGGCGACAAGATGCGACAAGTGCCTCACGAAAAAAAGGAAAAAAGAAACGAAAGCTACACGAACGTGAAGCATGTGAAGCATGTGAAGCATGTGAAGCATGTGAAGCATGTGAAGCATGTGAAGCATGTGAAGCATGTGAAGCATGTGAAGCATGTGAAGCATGTGAAGCATGTGAAGCATGTGAAGCATGTGAAGCCGGAATCCAAGCTGGTCTGGAGTTCAGAGGCGCAATCTCTCCAAGCATTCCTGTCCCTCATGTGCCTCCTGTCCAAGGTTCAAATAGCGGTGCCGCCTAAAGCTAGTGGCACTCCATCTTGTGAACAAGGTGGGCCCTACCGGCTCTCCCAGTCAGCTCTCCAGCTGCCCTTTGTCCAGTATGATGAGTTCACTGGACTTATGATAGCAGCTTTTTCCTCTATTCCCCATCTTGCAAAAGCGCTCAGGTTGCACCTGCACAAGGCTACAAACATCAAATAGGGCCAGGGACATACTTGGAAAACATTGCCATTTCAAGTCCTGAAAGCGCTGTCGGTCACCGCTGGGCTTGTCCTGGTGAAAACAGCAAATCTTTTGCAAGTTGACAAGTTGTCTACGGAAGCCAGCACAAATCGTGCAGAACATGGGTCCGGATGGGTCACTAGCGCAAGCTTGCGAAATGCTCGCCGAATACTTGCCTGGGCGAACGCCCATGACCCTCAGGAATACTTTGGGATCCTTTCCGGCCAAATGTTTGAGCAAAACGAGCCCGCGACGATGTCTGCGTCCGGTGCTACTTCCAACTTGGCATAGTGATCCTGACACGACAGGACAAATTCAGGAGTTGATGAACACATAATGCCAAATCGGACCTGGACTTTCGTAAAACATCGTAAAACTATGATTTCTACATACTTCTACCAATCAACCAAGAGCACGGTTGATCAAAAACAAACTTGGCGCCTGTTCTGTGGACTTGCGCATTGTTCTTGTTGCTGCACCGGTGGAATAAGTTTTCAAGTCTAGAGGGTGCTTAGGAACCTTTGCCCATCCACGTCCTAAGCATGGGATGCTATGGATGCTATGGCGCTCCTTATGAATTCTTACGGCCTCAACCCATCTCAACCTCCGCATCCCTCCATCTGCCTGGAAGGGCCGTGTGACTGGGACGGCTGATTCTTCTATGGTCACCAACCGCGACCTGGCATCGGGGATCATCGCATCATCCGAACCAAAGCCTGGCTAACATGTTTAACATGTAAGTTGCCAAGGGTTTACCGTTGACTCCGTTGACCAAAGCAGTATCATGGCTGGAAATGTCGGCAAGGCTACAAATAGCATGAGGACATTCTGTTGTTTCAATGATAGCAAAACCAAAGCAGAAAAACTGGTCTTAGTATTGGTACATGCTTTACATGCATTTCCTGTCCTTGAACGGCAGCGTGTAGTCCCGAGCAATTCGCCGTGCTTTGTAAGGTCCAAAACTCATCTTAAACATGCATCAAACAAACCAGTGATGCAAACCTGCTATATAGTGCTGTCAGTGCTGATACTCATGTGGAACACCTGGTCCCAATCTTCCACTGCTTGGAACACACCTTTCATTCAACATCTCGAGCATGCTTTGATTCTCCAGTTTCGAGCTAGTTCAGACTTCAAACCTTCACATTTCAATTAAGGGGTGGTACGGTTTGTTTATGATCAACGTCCCAAACTTGCAAAGGTCACTGGAGCCACGCGACCAAATGGCTCGGATGGTAGTCCTGGAACCAGCTGGAACCAGCTGGAACCGCGCTCTAAAGTCTCTAAAATGACCGTCGCAAAGCGAGAAGCATGTACTGTACTTGTGCACCAGCAAAATGCTAGCAAGATCTCGCAAGCATATCATTCCTTTGGAGCACAATACAACCACGTATATCATTCCATATCATTCCTAGGTCTTGTGAGCTGCTGGGTCAGAAGCAACTGTTGAATGACTCGAATCACTGACGTCAAGCCGAAGCATTCTCGAAATTTCTCGAACATCGATTGACTGACGTGAAGCTCTTTCCATCTCTGAATCGCTCCTCGATGCAGTCTAGGAATTCGAAGACTTTCTCCAGGCGCCCTGACGGGAACGCGCTCACATTTCCCCCCCTGAAAGCAAGTTTTCATTAATGCTCTGTGCAGTGAGGTCACATGTAATACCATGTAATACCTGCACCAGGTCATCTGAAACATTGCGAAACAGAACCATGGGCTAATTTACGTTATAGCAAACATATGCAAACATCAGCGTAACATGCTCTGGCCACGCTTCTGTAGTCTTCCATAATATTCCGATTGGCAAAGGCAAAGGCGTAATTCCTGTGAGCTGAAATTTTGCTGTGCCAAAGAATGTTTTGCCAAGTCCAAAGCAAAGCAATGTTAAGATTTTGCATATTTGATTTGGTGCAGTTGGCGTTTCACTGGCTTTTAACTGGATGGCTTGCTGGCTTGCTTCTTTGGTCACTTCACCTCTGTTTTTACGGTAGTGGCCTAGTGCTTTGGATATTGGCTTGAAGCTCCTAAGGCTTGACTAATTTCTCATGTCTTCACCGTCTCAGAACGACCTTAGAATACGTGAGCATTAGACGGGATGCCACAAATCTGCAAATTCAAAACGCCAAAACCTGGCATCTTCACAGCGGCCTTCTGCCAACTGATTCTCCACCTCTGCGCAAATTTGTTAAGGTCAATGTGGATATAATGTGGATATAATGTGGATATAATGTGGATATAATGTGGATATAATGTGGATATAATGTGGATATAATGTGGATATAATGTGGATATAATGGACTCCTCAAAGTTTCTGATCTGAATTTGAATCCTGCAAGCCACCCACGCAGTACACACATGTATATGATAATATGATAGTACATGTGTTTGGTTGGATACGTTAGCTTATTCGTGTCTTTCTTGTATCTACACCAGTTTGAAAAATATGTGTGGTCTATGCATCTGATCTTGTCATTCAAACCTCAGGATCCGACATTCCCAGTCTCCATGGACCTGCACGGCAGGCTGCACGAAAACGCCCAATGCCGAAATCATCCGAAATCATCCCAAAACAAACGGCTTGATCCCACGTGGCACTCGCATAGCTTCACGAAGGCTTGCCATATCAAGAACATATCGGAGCATCACAAAAAGATGGCGCCCATAGAACACAATTGAACACTGATCAAAGTTTAACAGCCATGGGGGAAGCAGAGTCGCTTTGACTTCTGGACTCCATTCAATCACACTAAGAGTTTGCGCTACAGTTTGCTCTCCTTCAGGCTCAAGTTACACCTGTTGAAAGGTCAGCCAAGCTCGCTACGGGTCTGTGCTGTTTCCTTGATGTGCTGGCTGTTGCTGCACATAGGAAGCTACGAGTATCAGGAATGTTGCGCGATCTTTGGGTTCCATGTTGATGGTGTTTCTTGCATTTCATGCGCACGTTTGAGGCCGCAAATGGTTCTTTTGTGCCTGAAATTCCACAGAGGTGGGTAGTGTCAGGTTACTTTGTATCTTGCGCAATTCTCCGGCGGGTGTGAATTGGTGACAAAAGATACTGGTATGCTGAAAACGCAGAAAGGCTTGTGCAATCTGTATATCTGCTGTTTCTTTGATTCTTGGCTCTGCCTTTCCGTCTCGCGTGTGCCTTGTTGGATCGAGTCTTTTTGCTCTGGAGGCTCCGCACTATGGCTCTTGTTGGGAGTGGCAAGAGTGGACAGGCAGAGTCTGTTCCTTCATGGTGTAGCCAAGCTGCAAAAGACTGACTTGGCACTCAAAATGAAACCAAATACGCAACACACAAAACTGGCAGAGATAGAAAGAAAACCTGGAGAGAGGACAATTAATTGCTCATTTGAAACATCCTGACATTGCTTTGGTTAACCGAATTGAGCGCAAGTTTCACGCTGCCCAAGAGCCTCGTCCATGGCTAGTTCGGCCACGCAGGGCCGCACAGGGCTTGGAGCCAATGTGGAATGGACATGGATTTGGAATAATTTCGGAATAAGATCTTTGGTTCAGGGTGACACGTTTACTCAATCTCACCACACCTGCAGCTGATAGACGCCAGTTGCTTGACTGGATTGGAATCAAGATTGAATACACTATATAGATTAAACTTTCTAGAATATGTTCGGATCAAGAGAATGTTAAACAAAATGAACAACGACGACGACGACGACAACGATCATGGTCCGATGGCGATGTCTTTTCAGTAGCCAGCATAAACACAACCAATCACGGCGGCAACAACAACCACAACCACAGCAACAACCACGACGAGTCATACTCTTGCAGTGTCAGGCCACAAAACATCGCCAAGCCTCATGGGTAAAGAGCAGGAACCCATTCCTTTCTAGACATGGGCGCCTTAAGGCGGTCAAAAATGCTTTTTTCGAAATTTGCAAATTAAAAACACCAGGAAACCTACTGACAAACTGCAACGTCTTTTGTTGAGGTGTCCGCAGATGTACATATTTACAAGGTTTGTGTGCGACTTTCATATCAAATGCCACATTCTTCGGGGGTGCCCCAAATTGGTAACAACCATACTGGAGGACCCCCAGACATGCATATTTATTATCTTAATGTGACCTGCCAACTCCTTATAAGGGAAGTTTGAGATGATTTGCTTGACACTGCACTTCTCAGGGAAGGTCAGAAATGGCAATGCCTATATTTGACGTTCCAAAAACATGCATATTCTTTGTGCCGCCTTCGCATCAGATGTGACATGTTTCTAGCTAAGTTATACTTTACTACCTGCCCTGCTGCTATTTAAAGGTAATACAGTAGTGGCGGGTCCGGGAAATGTTATTGCAGGTATTTGTAAGTTACATGTTCGACCCTTTCAGGGATCCCTAAGCGGGTTATTTTATATTATTCTAGACACAGAGATAGAGGAAGAAAGGGAACACCCAAGGTGACAAAATTGACCACAGCTCCAGAAGCTTGCAGTGTGAACAAGCACGTGATGGCACGTGGGTCCTTTCTCTGCGCAAGAGCCTTTTCGGCTCATGAAGGTTGTGTCTTCATGAGCAATACGGCGCGTCAACTGCAGTGGTGCTTGGCCATGTCACCAACTTGAACCAACTATTGTCACAGTAATGAATTCCATAGTAAACTGACTTGAATTTTCTTAGACTCTTTGCCAGTTTGACGACTCTTCCATTTCACCTTTGCATTCAAATTCTTCGCTTTCTGCTGTCCTTCTCTCTGCTGTTTCTGTTTTGAGCTAGGTGGGGCTCACAGTTCCTGCCACTCCTTCGCTCAAAGTTGCGAAATGAAAACCGGGTAGCCATAGTCTTCGGTATCAGGCTATCCCTGTATCTTTGATACAGAGATGTTTGGGCAGCCGGGTCAAGTGCTTTCTTTTGTGTGTTGCTGTTTTCTTCAAGCTAAGATGTCTGAAATTTTCGTGGATAAATGATAAACGTAACTAAATGTATTGGAGAAACTGCCGCATAGAAAATGCTGCTCTGTCATCTTGTCAAAGTTCAAAGAAGTTTGAGAAACTTTCGGCCTACCAGGTGAGCTGACCAAGCCATTCAAATTTACAAAGCGAGTGCTTCCGCCAATTTTCGCCAATTCACCTTCGCAAACTAGCTACAAACAATTACAAAATGTTACAAAAGGTTACAAAATGTTACCAATCACAAACCCACCGAGGCAATTGACGAATTCATCGAATAGCTAACCTACCTCTTTGCCCTGTCTGCACTAAACTTGCTAAAGTAACTCACCAATACCAACAAATTCTCGCGCAATGCTTGTACTTGTTCAAGCCTGTGTTTGGATGTCCCCAAAACGGCTGCATCTGCACAGTGTCATAGCATTCAGGATCCCCTTTCCTATTAGGCGCTATTAGGCGCTAACGGTTCCCTCTTCCTTTTTCCGTTCCCTGTCCTCCTGAAAGTTCCCCAAGGTTTGTCCCAGCTTGTGCCCGGTTGTCTTAGAGTGTGTAGGTAGGCTCACGGATCTCTACTTGCACGCTACTTGCATGATCGATTTCTCAATTTCTTTCAATTTCCAACCTCCTACAGTAAACACATCATGAACACGGTTGCTTTGTTCCTGTTGTAGCTTGGCCAAGCGCCTCTCCTATCAAAGTGACCTCACAGCCAACAAAGCTCAGTCGGCTCTGGGGTTGAGAGCTTTTTGGGAGCTTTGACGGCGAATTCGAACGCGTTGGCACTCAAGCTTTGCATTGGCGCCTTGCCCAAGAAGGGCTCGACCTTAAACATGTTTGCCCCCGAGGGGATGTGAAAAAACACATATATATCTAAACTAAACGTATGCGTCATATGCGCTCTTTTTCTTCCTGCGTCCACTGATGTCACTTGGTGCCGGCTCCAAGATCGGGACTGTGTATGTCTTTGAACTGTCCTACCTGACACCGCACTAAGGAGATCAAGAATGAACAATAACAAAGGTCAAAAATAAACATAAACATGGTCAAACTCGTCAAAACATGTCAAAACATGTTTTCCCATGGACAGAAAATGAAGAAAATATGTCGTGACCCAGCGCTTGGAGCATCAAAGGTCAGAAAAAGGTCCACATCATCTGCATAGGTCTTCCATTTCTCTGTGTGAGTGGTGCATTCTAAAGCCCGCGTGTTTTCAGTGTATTCTCTTGCTCCGGCACTGTGTTGAGAACTTCTGCTGGGAAGCTGCATCAACTGACACATGACACAACTTTCGGCTTCATGACTTTCATGACTTTCATGACACAAGTCTGACACTGTCTTTGCAGCTCACTGCACTGCGCCTCAAAGGAGGTCCACCACGTCCACCGACGCAGACAATTGCCGCATAGTTACCTTGCATCCAAGCCAACTCCTGCTATCTTTAAATATTTCAGAATGCAAAAACAAGGATTTGATTCTTTCCTTCCAAGTCCACTTTGACGCATTCCTTCTGGAAGACCCATGCTTTTCTCTGGCCTTGAATTGTGTTGCTTGTGTCATTCAATGTTGTCATTCAATGTGATTCGATTGCCAATTCTCGAGCCAAGGCTTGAAGCATTGTCGCAAATCACTTCGTGAATGCACGTAGAGAGACGTAGAGTAAGTCCCATGTGAGTCGCTCAGGTGAGTCCCAGCTACTTTCAGTCTTGGGTAAGTTCCGGTAAGATTTATATCAAAGGCGAAACAACGATGATATTCGGCGAGCCAAGCAACCATCTGCTTCAGCTGGTTCAGAAGGCCATCCTTCACCAAGGTACTCAGCTTATGCTCCTTCGTTGTCGTTGAGAAAGCGTTGTACTTGTCATATCTTGTCATCACGACATTGGCACGTACTGCGACAAAGACGATGCAAGCTTTGACTTTCTGCCCGGAACATCTTTATGAAGCCGGCTCTGCTACATGTGCTCTTAGCCTGTCCTGCAAGAAATCACAGGTGCATCGCATCAAGTCATCGTTCCTCACAAATGCAAGGACTGGCAATGGATCTGAACTTGGAAGGTCGGACCATTTTGTTGGAAACAAAGATTTCAACAGATTTCAATAGATTTCAATAGATTTCAATAGATTTCAACAGATTTCAACAGATTTCAATAGACTTCAATAGATTTCAATCGATTTCAATCGATTTCAATCGATTTCAATCGATTTCAATCGATTTCAATCGATTTCAATCGATTTCAATCGATTTCAATCGATTTCAATCGATTTCAATCGATTTCAATCGATTTCAATCGATTTCAATAGATTTCAATAGATTTCAATGATTTCAATCGATTTCAATCGATTTCAATCAATGATTTCAATCGATTTCAATCGATTTCAATCGATTTCAATCGATTTCAATCGAATCGATTTCAATCGATTTCAATCGATTTCAATCGATTTCAATCGATTTCAATCGATTTCAATCGATTTCAATCGATTTCAATCGATTTCAATCGATTTCAATCGATTTCAATCGATTTCAATCGATTTCAATCGATTTCAATCGATTTCAATCGATTTCAATCGATTTCAATAGATTTCAATCGATTTCAATCGATTTCAATCGATTTCAATCGATTTCAATAGATTTCAATAGATTTCAATAGATTTCAATCGATTTCAATCGATTTCAATCGATTTCAATCGATTTCAATCGATTTCAATCGATTTCAATCGATTTCAATCGATTTCAATCGATTTCAATCGAGATTTCAATCGATTTCAATAGATTTCAATCGATTTCAATCGATTTCAATCGATTTCAATCGGTTTCAATAGATTTCAATCGATTTCAATCGATTTCAATAGATTTCAATCGATTTCAATCGATTTCAATCGATTTCAATCGATTTCAATAGATTTCAATCGATTTCAATCGATTTCAATCGATTTCAATAGATTTCAATAGATTTCAATCGATTTCAATAGATTTCAATCGATTTCAATAGATTTCAATAGATTTCAATCGATTTCAATAGATTTCAATAGATTTCAATAGATTTCAATCGATTTCAATCGATTTCAATAGATTTCAATCGATTTCAATCGATTTCAATAGATTTCAATAGATTTCAATAGATTTCAGTAGATTTCAATAGATTTCAATAGTCTGTTTTAGGATCGGCTCACCATCCTTAGCCTAAGGCATGGTCTTGGATTGCACCGCTCCGAATTTCCGCCTTTGCTTTCGATGAAGCAACAAACTTTGAGTCTCAGACCGGTGGAAATGGAGAGGGACCCACCTTGGACAGAAAGCAAAACAACACATGCTTGAGAAAGGAGCTTCTTATTCACACCTCCATTTATTTCGGTGAAATCGACAACGCATTCTATTCACTCTGCCTGTAAACAGCTGTTTCGCTGTTCATTTTGAAGGTAGTTAATTACTCCTTCAAAATCCTGAAAACCAGTACCAGTGAAATGCAGAATGCGCTCTGCAGGAATGCAATTTCTATTCAAACAACAGCTTGCTTCCTCCCCATGGATATCCCACCTGTCATTTTGCAGAA